GAGCCACCTGGCATCTACCTGAGAAGTCCTGCCCAGCCTTTCACCCTGGGGACCAAATGGAACTTAGGCTGACCTGACTTGATTACAAAGAGTATTTTCATGTTCCTGAACATGAAAATTTTCATTTCCTGCTCAAGGATTTCTAATTTTCTTAGGCAAGGAGGAAGCAGTCAGGGAAGGCAGGAAGGTTGCAGGAGACAGTTTGTGGGGGTTTTTTGGAACAGATAGGGCCAGGGCTCTGCTTCCCTCAGCGCTGAACAAGGGAACAGTCCAGGTAAAGGAGGACTGCTAGGAAACAGCAGACTTGACCAGAGCACTCTGAACTCTAGCGCAGGGGAAAAACTGTACTGGGGGGACTTCCCTTGTGGTCCACTGACAGCTAAGACTCATCACTCTCAATGCGGGGGACCTGGGTTCCATCCCTGGTCAGGGAACTAGATTCCACATGTAGGAACTAAGAGTTCGAAATCCGTAACTAAAGATTCTGTGTGCCACAAGACTCAGTGCAGTCAAAATAAACACTGTAAAATTTTTTTTAAAAAACTGTATTTGGTTCAGTTCCAGCATCTCTTGTCACGACTGAGGAGACTAAAGGAGTAAAGGGCTGTCATAGTATGTACGTGTCAATCCCAGGCTCCCAATTTACCCCCTGCTCCCTTGCCTTCTTGTAACCATAAATTTGTTTTCTACATCTGTGGTCTTTCTGGCTTTTATAGATAAGTTCATTTGTGCCCGTTTTTAGATTCTGCATATAAGGGATATCATAGGATATTTGTCCTCTGCCCAACTCACTTCACTTAGTATGACAGTCTCCAGGTCTGTACATGTTGCTACAAATGGCATTGTTTTGCTCTTTTTTATGACTAATATTCCACTTCATATATGCTACTAGGTATAAGACAGATAACCAACAAGGACCTCCTGTGTAGCACAGGGAAATCTACTCCATACTCTGTAACAGCCTACATGGGAAAAGAATTTTAAAGACAGTGGATATTAGTGTACATATACCTGATTCGATTAGCTGTATAGCAGAAATGAACATAACGCTGCAGACAACTGTATGTGCTCAGTTGCTTAGCCGCGTCCAACTCTTTGCGACCCCGTGGACTGTAGCCCATAGGCTCCTCTGTCCATGGGGTTTTCTAGGCAAGAATACTGGAGTGGCATGCCATTTCCTACTCTAGGGTATAAATCAACTATACTCCAATAATTTTTTTTTAAAGAAGTACTGTCATAGGACAAGAGATTACATTCACAGACGATGATGCACCAGCCAGGAGAAGCAACAGTAATGATATTCAGAGATCCAAAAACTTAGCTGAGTAGAAACGTAATGATGATAATGCATAAAGATCCCCTGGAGGAGGAAGTGGAAACCCACTCCAGTATTCTTGACTGGAGAATTCCACAGACAGAGGAGCCTGACGCACTATAGTCGATAGGTTTGCAAAGTGTCAGGTGCGAATGAAGTGACTTAACACAAGCACACAAGGTCAGAGTGGAAGATGAATGTTCCGGGGTCACTAAAGATGCTTCCAGGGCTTTCCCTGGTGGTCCAGTGGCTAAGACTTCATGCTCCCAGTGCAGGGGACTCAGGTTCAATCCCTGGTCAGAGAACTAGATCCCAGTTGCTGCAACTAAAGATCCCATGGCCGACAACTAAGCCAAATAAAAATTAAAAAAAAAAAAAAGATGCTTCCAGAATGTTCCCCTTTAGGATCTGCTGGAAATGCCAAGGACACGGAAGCTCAGTCTGCAACCAGAGAGCGGTCATCTATTAGCCCACTAAATGTGGCTGATAGAGTCTATTTGATGCCCCATCATTTGTCTCTGTCACCAGTGAACTTTGGAATAAAATGTTCATTCAATTTCACAGCTGGGAGAGGCCTCAGGGATGGATGTTATCAGCCCCCTCATTTTACTGATGAGGCTCCTCAGACACAGATAGATTTGGGGGACTCCGCTTTTCAACTTGTATGAGAACATGAAGAGCAGTCACAGAGATGCCCTTGGGATGGCTTAGGGTCATGCTGAGTCTGCACGACCCACCAGCTGTCTCCATGAGCAGACCTGGATCTTCCAGAGCCTGAGTTTCAGCTGGAGAGCTGGGAAAATGCCATCACCTTGTGGCTTGGAAAATAACTTTCAGATAAAATGTTCAGAAAAATCTGGTTTGGCTTTTGTATCCTAGCTGGGAGGCACAAGCTGAGAAAGGAAGAGAATTAAAACATGTTCTACTCCTTCCCACCCCCTTCCCGCCCCCACTTATTTTTTTACATTTTATGGAAATACATGTCTGGGGAAGGAAACCGTGAGCCTCTGGTTGTCCTGAGACATCGACAAAGGTGAATAGAAAGAAATCTGGCTGGTAAAGAAGAAAGAGGAGTCCACAGATGTGGAATAAAGTGAAGTTTAGAATGTAGCAGGTCATGTAGAATTTTCACAAATATAACAGCTTAAGGATGCTCTTTGAGAAATTGATTTAAATACACTAGGCCTATGTAGCTAAACTGGCAGAGAGTGGGGGCAAGAAATGGAGTGGGAGGGATGCTGAGATGGAGGAAGTGGGGGGCAAGGAGACTGCTGCCCAGGGAGCTGGGGTGGGGGGACATGGGGGGGTGACCTCAGTGTGTGTGGGGGCGGGGGAGCAGGGCTCTGTCGTCTTCGAGTCACCATGCACCCCAGGAGGAAGGAGGCCAGTGAGTTCAGAGCACAGCCTCTCCTCCTCAAGAATCTGCTATCTCACCCGTGCAAGGAGAGCTCTCTCTAGCTGCCCTGGGGTCTCTCGTGATCCATGCGCAGGTTGGAAAAGAATTTCCAGACATGAGACAGAATGAGGGGAGAATAAAGTTTACTAGAATGGGAGACACTGTTAGAACATCGGGCTAGCTCACGAGAGAGCCAAACGTTTTTGCAAGCTTGCAGCCAATTTTCATAATCTCAAGACAGAGAAAATTCCTACTGAAACAGTGGCACTAGGTGATTGGTTAGGATGCTATAGAGTGGAGAGTAGGGTGGGCATTTTACATGGGAGGGGGGTCAGGGAACTGGACAGTTGAGATCAGGAGGCTTATGGCAACAGTTACTATGGGGCTTGGTCAGTTCCAGAGACTTTTATACTGTGACCCTGATACAGGGATCCACACCTGTGACCCTGGTAAAGGGCTCCACACGGTCGCCCAGCAGCTAGTGAAGCAGGGGACGAGGAAAATGGGCAGGAGACCTTGGCAGCCTTCTTGCTGTAATGAAAACAAAATCCACAATAATCTCGGGAGACTCAAAAGAGAACAGAGGAGAGAAAGGGAACTTTTGTATCAGACGGAGCTCTGTGTGTACACTCCAAGTGGAGACATGCAAAGGGCATTTTAGGCTGCCACCTCCCTCCTTCCTTAATCTTCCTGCTATCACAGGTGCCCAACTATTCAAACATCCGGGTCCTGAAGGACAGTAAATATTGGTTAACAACCAGGGTGACCCAGAGCTATTTACACGGGGTGACTGAGAGACTCTTTCACTCTAAGCATGCCAAGTCTGCTACTGCTACTGCTAAGTCGCTTCAGTCGACTCTGTGCGACCCCATAGACGTCAGCTCACCAGGCTCCCCCGTCCCTGGGATTCTCCAGGCAAGAACACTGCAGTGGGTTGCCATTTCCTTCTCCAATGCATGAAAGTGAAAAGCAGTGAAGTTGCTCAGTCATGCCCGACTCTTTGCAACCCCATAGACTGCAGCCTACCAGGCTCCTCTGCCCATGGGATTTTCCAGCAAGAGTACTGGAGTGGGGTGCCACTGCCTTCTCTGATGCCAAATCTAATATTCCTCAGTTAAGGAAATTCATCAGAACCTCTAAATGTTTTCCTAAGCTAAACAATAACATTCCTTGTTTCAAAATTTTAAGCAGTGGTCTGGGGACATTTTTACATGTTATGGACACTTTTTTTAAAATGCATAGACGCTGTAAGAGGCAAAAGCATTTATTACTAGTTAAAGATACTTTTCTCATACCACTGACTGCCTTCTTGCTGCTTATGCAATAGAAAGGGGGTGTGTGTTCATCGAGACTGTTCACACAGGGCCTTGCTCACCACTTAACCTCTTGTGTCCTGCTCACACCTTCATCCACAGCTTTATCATGCACTGAGGGAACACTGCCTCCTCCATTTGACAGAAAACAGTGACAATTACACCACAGGAAGACCTTCGACGCCAATAAAGGGGTCAGGAAGAGACAACTCAAGTCAACTGATTTGAGTTTGTGCTTTGAGATCCTGCCTGTGCACTGTGAGCCCCCAGCCCCCTGTGTTCATCTTGGGACCCTCACAACTTGGGACCCTGCATCCAACTCTCTTTGTTCCCAGTCCTCGGCTATTTCCCTTTCCCTTACAGGCTCAGTACAAGGGCAGGGAAGGGACTTCCCTGGTAGTCTCATGGTTAAGAATCCATCTTGCAATGCAGGGGATTCGAGTTCAATCCCTGGTTGGGGAACTAAGATCCCACATGGTAACTACTGAGTCTACACCACAACTAGAGGGTCCATGCACCACAGTGGTGCAACTAAGAGCTGAGGAAACCAAATAAATTAATTAATTTAGAAAAAAAAAGAGTAGGGAAGATGATGACTCTTCTGGTCCTGTGTGTGTGTGTGTGTGTGTGTGTGTGCGCGCGCTCAGTCACTTCAGTCGTGTCTGACTCTCTGCGACCACATAGACTATAGCCCTCCAGGCTCCTCTATCCATGGGATTCTCCAGGCTAGAATATTGGAGTAGGTTGCCATTTCCTCCTCCAGAGGATCTTCCCAACCCAGGAATGGAACCGAGGTCACCTGCATTGCAGGCGGATTCTTTACCAACTGAGCTACCAGGGAAGTCCATTATTCTCTTTCTCACATTGCCTATATATACTGAGATAGCAGGGATCTTTTACTTCCTCTGTATATTTTGGGTTCCAAACATTCACCGTACATGATGTCGGTCTCTCCCTTCCTTTCCCGTCCCTGCAGGACAGAACGTTGTTCCATCCTGTGAGTAACAGCTGCATGGACTGTAACCCCGCAGAGAAGAAGATCTTCATGGCCAGATGCGATCCTCTCTCAGAGACTCAGCAGTGGGTTTTTGAACATATTAATATGACTGTTTTAGAAAAATTTAACTACCATGCCAGTTCCTAGGAAGAAAAAAAAAGGAAGGACGAAAAGTGATTCCCTACAGATGATGAAAAAATTCAACTTTAGCCAGCCTCTGGGTCAAAGGAGTCAGGAATAACTTTTCCTAGATCCGGGAAGCCTGGTTGGAAAGATCTGTAAATGCCTTGTCCAGTTATGGCATCCTGAAGAACTTCCTGCATCCCGAAGAACTTGGCTGAGAACCTCGCCAGCTGCTTCCGAGAACTTTGAGCAGTCCCCTTGCTGGCCAAGGGCAAAGATGACTTAGGGACCTTTCCAAACAACTGCTGAGTTAATAAATCCTAGCATTTCTCAGGTCAAATCCTGCAGTAGTGAGTAGCTATGAATGGATCCTATTACGTGGGTGGGTGGGGGTGGAGGTGGAGGGCGTGACCCCTCTGACAGCCTGTTGCAGGTTTAGAATGAGCCCGTTCTCCAGCTAGAATGGTTCAGAGTGCTGTAGAGGATTCTAGAGTGCTCATACCATTCTGTGTTCCTGTGTTATTCTGCCAGGAGGGTGTGCGATCTAAGACTTCAATTACATCACGAGACAGACTTCCAGCGTCTCCATGCCTTCCCTGACTTGTGTCATTTTCCTTTCACAGCAGAGGTAACTTACTGGTCATAAAAGTTCATGCTCCATAAGCCAGCTGGAGTTCTAATTCAGTGCCCTTGTATGAATCCAGTTGAAAACAAACACGAATAAAAAACTATGCTACCAAGTTACTCCAAAGAGAAATATTTCATGGAAGCAGCAAAACCATGTAAGGTTTAGGAGAGGAATTTCACTAGGAAAATCTATTTTTACTTTTCTATTATTTTTTAGAATTTTCAGAGTCTGATGTTAGTCCAGTCATTGTTTTATTAAGGAAGGACATGGAGTGAGGCTGATGTAATTTGTTGAGGAGATTCTTAAATCCAAATAAATCTACACTCCACGAAACGTGTGAAAATGACTTGGTACACTTCAGTTATGTCTGGTAAGGGCTGGGGACATAGAACTGGTTGCATTTTGCTTTGGACTGGCTTTCCTCTTTGTTGTTGTTCATTTGTTTTATAGTGTAGATATTAATGATGCTTTTGTTTTTCTTGGACACACATTGAAGGACTTTCCATTAATAAAGTGATTCTGACCCCATTTTCTATTCATGGGACAGTATTTAAGGGATGATTTAAAAACTAAATGGAACATTTAATCCTTAAAAGATTTTTTTTTAAACTCTTCAGTAATAGTGGGGGTAGGGGAAGAATATATGGAGATAAACCCATAGAGGAAAGAATGATATTTTGTTATACATACATTTCTTGAGTTTTTTTTTTCCAGATAGAAAACGGTTTTTATTTTGCTTTTGTTGTTTGCTGCTGCTGCTGCTGCTGCTAAGTCGCTTCAGTCGTGTCCGACTCTGTGCGACCCCATAGAGGGCAGCCCACCAGGCTCCCCCGTCCCTGGGATTCTCCAGGCAAGAACACTGGAGTGGGTTTTCTTGTTTTTAACTCAGTTTTAGATTAATAATATATATATATAGTCTTGGATATAAAAGCATTGAATTTTAGAACTAGGAAGACTCTTAGAATCCAATCTGTTTTTGTAGATGAATAGCAAAAGCCGGGAGAAATGGTCCTAATTCCTAACAGGGCCAAAGGGCCTTCCAACGCCTAGTGNATATATATAGTCTTGGATATAAAAGCATTGAATTTTAGAACTAGGAAGACTCTTAGAATCCAATCTGTTTTTGTAGATGAATAGCAAAAGCCGGGAGAAAATGGTCCTAATTCCTAACAGGGCAAAAGGGCCTTCCAACGCCTAGTGTCCAGCGCTTTTCCTCCTGTGTTGCGTTGAGTCTTACATCATCCAGGAAGGTTTAGGTCACTCCTCTGATTTCACTTGAGATGTTCAGTCCCTCGATGACAATAACGTACCCGCCTGGGGATGCCTACAAGAGTAGCACTCACGTTCAGAAGCTTAAACATATGAAACCGCTTCTTATAAATGTTCCTGGCTGTGTTCTCTCCTTGAAATCTAATCCAACATCCAGTGACACTACCCTGCTAACAGGTGGGGAAGAGTTACTTCATTCTCTTTACTAATGTTTCAAGCATTCTTTTGAAGAACTATTCTTTCTAAACTGACAGTTGCAGAGATTTTTTTGTGTGTTGGTCAAGAGATCTTGAAACATTCAAGATGCATGGTGAAGAAAATCGATAATGAGAAATTAACCTGGGTGTTGAACAATTTCAGAGAGAGGGTGAAGATTTATCTCAAGTGTTCAGAGAGCAACCTGGTTGTAGAAGGAGATGAGCCTATAAAAATTCACATTATGTCATTAAACAGTTGACTGCTATTTACATTTGCACCAAAGAGCCAGCCCAGTGAGCTGTGCCCTGGAAAGCCTGGATCTGCAGTATTTGAGGATGCTCTCATCGGGGGAAGCTGGCGATAACCTGCTCAGCACTGTCCCAGGAGAGTACCTGCATTCTGCATCCTTTAGGTGTGACACCTGGGATCGACATGGGTTGCTTTCCTGATCTCAGAGGGCCTTGTACTCTTACTTTGACTTAAAGGATGTAATACGAAAAAAAATTAAAACTAGAAGATTTTTTCCATGAGAAGCCTGGGACAGGAAAGCCAAAATTAGATCCTCAAGGGACTTCCCTGGTGGTCCAGTGGTTAAGACTCCCTGGTCCCAATGCAGAGAGGGCCAGGGTTTGACCCCTGGTCGGAAAACTAGATCCCACATTCTGCAACTAAGATCCGGTGCAACTCAAATAGATAGATAGATACTTTAAAAAAAAAAAAATCCTCAAACTGCCAAGTAATTGTTAGACATATGAGAAGACCGAACATCCAAATAGAATAAAAGGAAGTCTCAGAATCTCCCCCTGGGCAGAAGGGCCTGGCACTGACATGAACATGTCCAATTTCCCAGCATCACCGAGGGTGGGAATCTGCTTCCTTCAAACACCACCATGACTATTCTGAAACATAGAACATTACATATGTTTGTGTATTTACTTGGCAAGAGGACTGAACAGTCACTGGAGAGATTATCTTTCCAGGAAAGAACAGGATTTAGAAGTTGGAGCAGCAGAGATCTGACCCACCCTTTTATCAGAATTGGAGGGAAAATAACAGAAAGTTCATCTGGCCTCAGGAACTGCTACTTCTCCAGGATAAGAAATGATTTTTCCCAGAAGTTAGAAAATAGTTAACTTTTCAAACCCCTTTCCAATGTATTTACCAAGAAAAGGCTGTGCTGGAAAACAGTTGTGAACTAATCATGGGATTTTCATGTGCTCCGAGGCTGATGAATACCATGGCAATAGCAATGTGCTGCTTCCAGGTCTGCCACTGCTTAATTTAAAACACCCACATGACCACAAGACTGGTTTTAAATGCATTCACCATCTCAGAGTCCTCAGTGTGTAATGCAAGGCCCAGGATTCTCTCGTGAGTTGGTGCATGACAGCTCAGTCACTTCAGTCGTGTCTGACTCTTAGCAACCCTATGGGCCATAGGCCGTCAGGCTCCTCTGTCCATGGGATTCTCCAGGCAAGAATACTGGAGTGGGTTGCCACTTCCTTCTCCAGGGAATCTTCCAAACCCAAGGATGAAACCCACATCTCTTCTGTCTCCCGCATTGGCAATTGGGTTCTTTACCGCTACGTCACCTGGGAAGAGCTTTCAGGCCTCCCTGGCAGCTCAGGGTGAAGAATCCACCTGCACACACAGGAGACGCAGGTCTGATCCCTGGGTCGGGAAGATCCCCTGGAGAAGGGATTTGTAACCCATCCAGCATCCTTGCCTGGGAAATCCCGTGGAGTCAGACACGACTGAGCGACTGAACACAGCAGCATGAGATTCTTGTGAGCACTGATTTACCCTGGAACCCTGAGGAAGACCTCCTGAGGCCTCTTCCCCGACACGGGTATAAGGCAGAAGTATTCTTTCATAGACAGATGCTGGAGATAAAGAAATAGGGCACTTGACACAAACCCTGAGAGGGAACACCTCAAAGGGAAACTATCTCTCAGAGATTCCCTGGGACTCTGGGAGCCAACGGCAACAATGACAGGTAGGCTGCATCTCCAGACACGGGCGCCCTTCGTCCCCTGCTTTCACAGCATCCCCAGGGCCTGCTCTGGCCATCATTACTCTCAGATGACACCACCAGCTGGCTGTAATCACTTTCCTCGTGTGCGACCCGAGCGGGAACACTGACAGGTGACAAGTGGCCGGTCCTCCCACGCCGCCGACAAGAGAAGATTGCGCTTTGATTTATGTCCGGAGCCCTTGCCGGAGACCCCGGAGCTGACGGCGACTCTATTTGGTGGACTTGACGTTGGCCGGGAGCTTTAATCCAGTCACTCATCTGTGCGCCCAACATGCCAGGCTGGTGCATCCCGTACTGCAGCTTCAGAGACACCAGCCCAGGTGCGTGTCTGATGCTGCACTTCACAGAAACCTGGGCTCATTTCTTCTGTCCTCGCGGCCTGAAGTGGCCCCCCCAGCACATCAGGAGACAGTCCCCAGGGTCCCTGCAGTTTGCTGCCCACTACATGTGCCTGGGTCAACCGCAGTACAGAGAGTCTGGACACTGAAGACTCTTCTATCCTGACTTCACTCACCTTGTGAAGGGTGAGCTTACTAGTTTGTAACTCAGAGGCACAGGTCCCGGTTTACCAGGAACCGTCCTAGTTTTTGCCTGGTTAATTATCATTACACAGAGATCAAGTCAGTCAGTCTTAAGGGAAATCAACCCTGAATATTCATTGGAAGGACTGGTGCTGAAGCTGAAGCTCCAATACTTTGACCCCCTGATGCAAACAGCCAACTCATTAGAAAAAGACCCCGATGCAGGGAAAGACTGAAGGCAGGAGGAGAAGGGGGAGGCAGAGGATGAGCTGGCTGGATGGCATCACCAATACAATGGACATGAACTTGGGAAAACTTTGGGAGATGGTGAGTGACAGGGAGGCCTGGCGTGCTGCCATCCATGGGAACGCAAAGAGTCTGGGCAACTGGGCAATTGAACAATAACAACAATTATCATTAATGCTTCCTTTTACTTTTAAAAATGTCCTAGTTTGGATAGAAGAGTACCTGGCCACTCTACAATCTACCTGCCTGTTTCCTTCCTAGTTCCTCTATAGAAAGCTAAAATGTCCAGTACTTATGAATGCCCAGCGTCAACAGGAAATTATGAGTCTCACCCCTTCCCTTTACACAGGACCAGGTGACAACCAGTTTTATTTGGGGATTATCTAAAGCATTCACATGGTTCTTCACAAGTTGCTTGATGGAGACTTTCCAATTAAGGGTTCTAATAACTATCTGTTTGCTGTGTCAAGATAATTCTAGTTGAATTTTTTTTTACATGATGTAAAAAAAAAATGTATTTGAAATCAACAAAGTCATTTTCTACTTTTCCAAGCTGAAAACAATAGCGCCCTATCAGCAGCCATATTATTAATTCTCAATATTATGGTATGAGACGTGTGTGCTCACTCAGTCGTGTTCGATTCCTTGTGATCCCAGGGACTGTAGCCCACCAGGCCTCCTCCATCTGTGGGATTCTCCAGGCAAGAACACTGGAGTGGGTTGCCATTTCCTTCTCCAGGGGATCTTCCTCACCCAGGGATCGAACCTCAGTCTCCTGCACTGGCAGGTAGATTCTTTACCACTGAGTCACCAGAGAAGCCCCTAAGAGTCCTTGAGTTAGTAGCTCAGTTGCGTCTGACTCTTTGCGACCCATGGACCATAGCACACCAGGCTCCTCTGTCCGTGGGATTGCCCAGGCAAGAATATTGGAGCAGGTAGTCATTCCCTTCTCCAGGGGATGTTCCCAACCGAGGGGTCAACCCCAGGTCTCCTGCATTGCAAGTGGATCATTTACCATCTGAACAACCTTATATCCATCTAAATATTTTTGCTGCATCA